ATCCGGGATTCGAACCCGCACCCTCAGAGTCAGGCACCTAACCGCCAGCACACAAAGTCAGACGCCTAGACCGCTCAGTGAGTGAGTGAGTGACCGATATTTTCCACAAAAATGGAAGTCGGACAACTGGTAGTCTAGACTGCGAACTTTAATTGTGTACCCCTCTGTGATAAGTGTTAATTGGCACGGCTCCCACGGCCGAAAGCTATGAAATACACACTGCCATTTTAGAAAGTGGTCAAATGTATTCATAATTTCTTTACTAAGAAAGTTTAATCCCAAATATAACATGTTACATTTGAACACTTTCTAAAATGGCATTGCGTATTTCACAATACAGGGTGTTTGCAGCAGCTTGATGGCGGAGGCTGTCTGGTGTGGAAAATATCATAAAGTTCTTGTCAGGTGCTGAATGCAGGAGGGAGTTGTCACGTCAACGTGAGCATTAGCCATGACTGGGACATTTATTAGTGTTCACCAATTTGTTTTGAAATTGTGCTCACCAATTTATTCAGACTTGTGGTCAAGGTGTCACCATACTTACCTTGAAACAGACTATAACTAATCCCCCTGTTGTTCTACGGGTGACTGCATTTGGTTGTTTAAAGAAAAGTGGGCACAGTGGAGGTACACCCACTTAGCCAGAATGAAAAAAACCCTGTCTGTCTGTCAAAACAGGTCTCTCACATAGCGAGAGTGGGGTATCCTCCCAAAACTTCCACAGATGTTTATACTACATATTACTTTATATTTGCAAATCAGAATTGAAAGGAATTGTTTGCCTTGTTGGCCCCTTTTAAGCAATAAATATAAAATTTCAAAACTCATTAGCTATGTTATATTGTAAAACTACATATTTTAATATGTACATTGAATGTACGTGAAGCTTGCATAATTTTTGTTTTGTATATTCAGAATACTATGAAGGTAATCAACAACATTTCAAGGTAATACAAGAAAACAAAATTTGCAATGTTTGACTACATGAAATATGCACGAATTTATATTACCTATATTTCAGATTTATTATCTACCTGCTCTCTTCTCTACTACAATTTCTACTCTGCTAAGTCAGGTGATGTATCATTATCTGTTGTTTCAGTTCAGCGCACTTCCTGGGCTATCCTATTACCTAAAAAGGGGTGATGAGGAGTTGTTGTTTCAACAATGTGTAGTAGTATTGGGATGTGGAAGTTTTAGGATGTGGAAGTTTAGGGATATAACCCCAGAGTGGGATTTGGCTGACTGGGATTAGTCTTAGATAACACTTAGTTCAGATGAGCCAACAAAATGCTTCTAAAAGATTATCGCTTCCAGTGATTATCACCACTACATATACTAGGGCTGGATATTGTCCTGATTCTCATGCTGCGATATATTGCAACAATTTAAGAGATATTGCAATACATATTGTGGTATACTGACTGGAAGGTTTCTGCCCAATAGCTCTCTGTGTGCGACATCCTCCTCTTGATTGCTGTTATTGGTGGGAATCCTTAATTCCCACTACGGTTGAATATTGCCGGTACTTTCCTTCACACTGAGTAGCATTTTGAGAAATTTCCTATGTACCTTCTCTATACATTCTGCTGTCATCCACCCCCATATTTCGCTCCGATAATGTAGTACAGGGCCTAGATTTTCGAAGCTCTCTTAGTGCTAAGATAGTCGTAAGTTAGCGTTAATGTATGACACTTACGACTATCATAGAGCTAAGGGAGCTTCGAAAATCTAGGCCCAGGTTTTACACATGTATCAAAATGTTCAACAGATGATTTAATATCAAGCTGGTGTTTCCTTATATCCGAAATGAGGGCGTTTGCAGTTTTTAATCCTTTTCCTGCTAGAGCTTTCGTTGTTTTATGAAATTTTCCGTTAAAAGATAACAGTAGTCCCAAGTAGTTGAATTCGTTCACAATCTCTATTTGCACATCCCTGTAGATACAGGTTTCCATTTTCATAGCAGGCGACTTACGGAATATCATGATCTTCGTCTTGTCGGTGTTAAGGTTTAATCCCCACGTTTCACAATACAAACTGAGTCTGTCAATACTTGTTTGTAATCCAGTAGCTGTTTCACTCAACATTACCACATCGTCAGCAAATAGTAACACATACAACATTATATCTTCTATACACAGCCCCGAGCTCATATCTTCTTGTAGTCTACGTTCTAAATCTTCGATAAACAATGAAAATAGTATTGGTGATAATATTTTGCCTTGTCTCAGCCCTGTTGAATAACTAAACACTGGACTCAGTTTATTTTGTAGCTTCACTTTCGATTTTACTTCTTCGTACATACTCTTGCATATTTTCTGAAATTTTCCTCCAATACAAAATTTCACACTCGTTTCGTATAAGTCATATAATAATCTCTATTTAATACTTCATACTGACATCATCCGACATCAGCTTATCTACGAGAGGAAAAAGGACTACATAACCCTAACCAGTGACCTAATTAGAGACTGTGTACACCTAGGTATAATGATGAATGGTCTACAGTTCGTGGAAGTTGAACCCAAGGAATGCCTGAGAAGCTGGCAGATGGATGTAGGCAGAAGTATAGAGGTCGGTGCCCTCAAACCTCTAATTGTTGGCGAACTCCATAAGCTGGGGTGCCTCTCATTTGCAATCATGGTGAAAATAGGGTTTGATGTACCGTGGGATGGGCACACTTGGAATTACTTTGATGGTGGACGAGCAGATGTATATCATCACGGGGAGATAGATATGCTTGTCGACAACTCTTTGCAAATAATACAAAACACCCTACTACTCTGCGCATGTTCCGGGTGGGTCGAGGGTATAATCGATGAGGTCTATCTAGATATTTACTAAGGATTTTATGGCGCCTGATGGTTGGAGGAGTTACCTCCCTTGCCGGTGATAACAATGCCTACTGTCCGAGAGCTCAAGCATATTGCGAGAGAACGAGGCGTAGTGGGGTACTCTCGATTGAGGAAACCCCAGCTGTTTAGCTTACTAGACATACAACCCCCTCCAACGGTGAAACAACTCAAACTCCAAGCCAGAGAACATAGAGCTGGGGTTGGCTGGTTATTCCCATATGAGGAAAGCCGGGTTAGTCGCACTGTTGCACGCCCCCGTACAACGACCCATGGTAAAACAACTCAAACAAGAAGCCCGAGAGCTGGGGCTGGCGGGTTATTCCCGTATGAGGAAGCCCGAGCTCGTCGAACTGTTGCATCAGCACAGAGTCGTCGATCTACAGTTCGTGCGCACTGAACGCGCTGTAGGTAATTACCTGAGATGCTGGCGCATGCATGTAGATAAGAATATAGACATCGGCGACGGCAAGCCGGTGATCGCTGACAAAGTTAATGAGGAACTGAACGATTTGGGAAGTCTAAATTTTCTAAAATGGTAAAGATGTTGCTCGATAAACAGCAGACGGACGGTGCCGTTGAAAACGTTCAGCCTTACTTCCGGGGTAAACAAGAAGTCGTGACTCATGCTGAGACTATAGACGAGTCCATCGATACCAGTCTTCAGCAAATACGGGAATATTTGGAGCGCTTCACGCACAGGGGTTCCGAGTAGGCCATGGGTAAAATCGATAAACTTTATCTAGACATAGCTTACTATGTACCGTTCAGAGGCGGATCGTACCTAGACTTGCCAGCCTACTACAAGGTAAAACAAGCCATGGTCAACATCAAAAACAGAGGGGATGATTGCATGAGGTTAGCGATCAGGTCAGCCTTGTTTCCGACCGACGTTAATTCAAAGAGACCTACGAGCTATCCCCAAGACGACGGGCTCAACTGGGACGGTATAGACGAACCCACCCTCATATCTCAGATCACTAAAATCGAGAAGCAGAATGCCATAGCCATCAACGTCTTTGGGCACGAAGGCAACAAAACGATCGTGCACAGGATCAGCCCAATAAAGGGTCGCCGCGTGATCAATATATTCATGATTCGGCGAGGTGGTAAGTACCACTACGCGTGGATAAAACACTTCAGCAGGCTGTTGCACGACCAATCGAAATACGACGGAAAAAAACACTTTTGTGAACGATGCCTTCACGGCATTTATTAGAATCCCACTGGGAGGATTGCCTAGGCGTGGGGCAGACGGCCATACAAATCGACATGCCCAACGAAGGCGACAATGTCTTAAAATTCACCAACCATAAGGACCAGATGCCAGTGCCTTATGTCATCTACGCCGACTTCGAAGCCTTGATCAAAAGCGTTGATATCAGTCCGACCCCCAACACGCACAAAACGCAGGAGCACGAGGCCTGTGGGTTCGGATATGTGGTCGTCCGATGTGATGGGGAAACGAAAACTCCCGTAGTGTACAGGGGTCCCGACGCGGCTGAAAAGTTTCTAAAGTGCTTGCAATGGGAAGAGAAAAGCATCAGGAAGAAATTGTACAATATCGTTCCCATGCGTATGACCCAAGCCGACCGGCGAGCTCACTGCTGCAGCACTCACTGCCACGTGTGCGACGATATCGGGAACTCCTCACCGATTACAACAGAGGCACCGCTCACAGCGCGTGCAATACCAAGCTCAGAATCAACCCCAAGACAATCAACATCCCCGTGGTCTTTCACAACTTGAGAGGGTACGACTCTCATGCAGGCCATCGCGAGAGTTGACGGCAACCTGACGTGCATCCCCAACAACATTGAGAGATACATCTCCTTCTCCCTGAACGGCCTGAGGTTCATAGACTCAGTTCAGTTCCTGCTGTCGTCTCTCGACAGTTTGGTCAAGGCCAACGATACCTTCCCCATCACTGATCGATACACCAACACCGAGACTCGGCCCCTGCTGATGAGGAGGGGTGTTTACTCCTACCAGTACATGGACAGCTGGGCCAGGTTCGCCGAGACCCGACTACCCCCCATGAGTGAATTTTACTGCAACTTGACCGACTCGGCCATCACGGAGGGCGATTACGACCACGCCCAGAATGTGTGGGAGAAACTGGGTTGCAGGAACCTGGGTGATTACCACGACCTGTACTTGAGAACGGACGTACTCCTGCTGGCTGACGTGTTCGAGACGTTCGAAAGACGTGTTTCAAGCAGTATCAACTCGACCCTGCGTGGTACTACACCAGCCCCGGTCTTTCTTGGGATGCCTTGCTGAAGAAAACCGGAGTTAAGCTGGAACTCCTCACCGATTACAACATGCACCTGTTCATCGAGAAAGGATTGCGAGGTGGGATTTCCATGGCTGCCAAACGGTACGGAAGAGCCAACAATAAGTACGTGAAGGGCTACGATGCTAGCAAACCAATTAATCATCTCCTCTATCTCGACGCCAACAACCTGTACGGTTGGGCTATGAGTCAGTATCTACCCACCTGGGGGTTTGAGTGGGTGCCTGAGATAGACGTCATGAGCATACCGCCGGATTCGGGGGTAGGTTACATCCTCGAAGTTGACTTGGAGTACCCAGCAGCATTACATAAGTCACACAACGGCTACCCCCTGGCCCCAGAACGTTTGATGGTGAACCCGGACTGGATGTCCGATTACCAACAGAGGGTGGGGGGTAATAAGCTAGCCAACGTCGAAAAACTCGTACCTAACTTGATGAATAAGACCAAGTACATCGTTCACTATCGCAACCTGCAGCTGTACCTGTCGCTGGGTATGAGGCTGACAAAAATGAATAGGGTGCTCAAATTCGCCTAAAGCCCCTGGATGGAGCCCTACATCAGAATGAACACGGACCTGCGAAAGCTGGCCACCAGTGACTTCGAGAAGAACCTCTACAAGCTCATGAACAACTCGGTGTTCAGTAAGACGATGGAGAATTTGCGAAAACGCGTGACTGCGAAGCTGGTCCGAGCGAAAGAGGAAGACAAGCTCAGGAGACTGATAGCCAGCCCGGCATTCAACCAGAGCAAGATGTTCACCGACGATCTGCTGGCCCTACATATGAGGAAGAGCCACATCAAGTTCAACCGGCCCGTCTACGTTGGGATGAGCATCCTCGACCTCTCCAAGCACCTGATGTACAACTTCTACTCCAAGAGCTCAAGAAGCAGTACGGCGACAGGTGCGAAGTGCTGTACGTGGACACGGACTCCCTGCTGATGGAGATTCGAACCGAAGACGTGTACGAGGACATGGCAAAACACATCCATTTATACGACACCAGTGACTACCCCAAGGACCATGCCATGCACAGCACATAGTACATAGGCTTGAGGCCCAAGATGTACTCCATCCTGAAAGCCGACAATAGCGAGATCCGGAAGGGGAAGGGTGTCAAGAAGTACGTGGTGAAACAACACATCAAACACGCCAGGTTCAAGGAGGCCCTGTTCAGGGCCCGCACCTTCAGGCATCAGATGAACACGCTGAGAAGCGAAGGACACAGGATATACGGACTGACGATAAACAAGACGTCCCTGTCACGATGGACACGAAGCGTTGGATAGCCGCTGATGGAATCAACACGTATGCGTGCGGGCATGAGAAAATTGAACCAAAGACATAGCCGTATGTATACGATGTCACGGAAAGAGAGAAATTTGGAGGCTATTTACTGCAGCCCGCGTGAGTACTGGAAAGGAGCGAGCGCCATACATAAGCTTGCCAAAATGGCGAGAGTACCCCCGGACGTGGCCAAAGCGTGGCTGGAAAAACAAGCCCTGTGGCAGATCTATTTACCGGCACCATGCTACGTGCCTAGAAGAAAGTTCGGCATTGCCGTATCCAATAGCGTCCACCAGGCCGACCTCCAGTACCTACCCCACGACAAGAGGTACAAGTATGCCCTAACTGTCGTGGACATGGCCAGACGCTACAAAGAATCCGAAACCTTAACCGCGAAAGACTCGGCCCAGGTAGCCCGCGGATTAGAACGCATATACAAGCGCAGCCCGCTGACATGGCCCATGGAACTGCAAGTCGATCCCGGAAGGGAGTTCATGGGTGCCGTGTCACAACTGCTAACTAAGCACGGCATCCAGGCCAGGCGTGGTGCGGCCGGGGCTCATCGCAGTCAAGCCATAGTCGAGAGATTCAATAGGACTTTGGCCGAGCGCTTATTCGGGCATCAGTATGCGAGAGAGATGGCCAATCCGGGGAGATGATCAACGGAATGGGTAGCCCGGCTACCTCAAGTGGTGTCGGCTATCAATAACGAAATCACTCGGCTCACCGGCAAGAAACCGGCCGACGCTATCAAACTGAAATCAGGGACGGCCGAACCAGGTGCACCATCGCGTGGGAAGGAGAAACAGATACTCGACCCCGTGAGGTACCTCTACCAGCCGGAAGAACATGAAGGGGACACTCGGAAACGAGCCACCGACCCGACATGGTCAGTCAAATCTTACAACATAGATAAAGTGGACATCAAGCCGATGAGCCGAACTTGTACTACTTGAAAGATGGGCCAAAAAGAGGTTTCGTCAGAGAGGAATTATTGATCATACCAGACAGCACAATGTTACCCCCCAAGCAAAATATTTAACACTTACCTTGTCGAGTAATCCCAATTGTATCCTGTAACCAGCTCATAGGCGATTCACATTAAACTGTTTCGTCAAGGTCAACAGGACATAGGGCGACAATAGAATCACGTGATCAGGAAAGTGTTGGTTCGCGGTCATAGTGACCAGGAAGTTAACTGGGGGTTCAAACAGTGGTACACACACTAGCGGAGAGAGATAAGGGCCTGACAAAAGCTTTATTTCATAAATGAAGCTTTACAGAATCTGTTGTTTGAACTGATCTCGTACTGCTATTGTATATACTACTAAAACACAATTATCACTTATTCATGGCATATAATATACACTGCTGATTATGAAAAAAACATATAAACAAAATTATAAGCGTACAATCGCAAATCAAAAGTGCAATATTTTGTACTTGGGTTTGTTTCCTAAGAAACGAAGCAGCCGGAATACCGAACCCAGTCAGAGCGGGTGGGTGTGCACTCAAGTGTAACTGCTGGTTCATTTGCAGATGCCCTCGCGGCTCTTTGTGTGTGTACATAGAGATGTTTGGTTTTGTAAATACATGCTCATTTTTTGTGTATAGCATTTTGCAATCAACAGGCATCATAACATGTCATGTGTACAAGTACACCTGCCTGTGTGTGTAATTACATAATGTGACAGAGACCGAACTCAAATGGCATGTGGTCAGTGATCGAAGTTGTGTATTGCATATTGTCATTAGCAGACAGGCAGGCAGACACATAGGTGTCAATAAAACAGACATTGGGTTTTGTCTGTGACAGCAACATAGCTATATCACAGTTAGAAATTCTGTCAACGCTAAATAATGACATTGCTTTTAAGTATCGAACTGAGAAAGTGACTCGGTAAGAAGAACGTGTGGTGAAATAGACAAATGAAATTATATAAACAGTTAAATCGGTAATCTACTGTCATAACATAAAAAGCTCGCGCCTGTGAAATATCAACAGAACGTTAGAAAAATAGCTCACACCAAAGCCTTCACCGAGTATTCACCGGACAACCCGCTTCCAAGCTGCGTGAACCTATTTCACTGTGCATGTGCAATGAGCGCAGCCCAGCTATTGAAGCCACTTTTCCCCGAAGCGCTGGGGGAAAATTAGTGAATCATTTGAACTCCGATTTCACGTTATTTTTCAACTTTATAAGTTGAATTTGCATTGTTTGATGATTTGTTTTGGTAAGTCCATACCGAAAGGTATCAGAATCTGCAAAGTTGTGTTTTACGTTGCATGTGACCTTTAACAATATTTTCTAAAGATTTTAACAGTTCATGTCTTTGAATAGTATACAAAAGACATTCAAGGAAGTAATTAAAAGCATTCTCATATCCATGGCCACATTCACATGATGCATCAATGTTTACATTAATTCTAAATAAATCATAATTAGGTGTACTCGTCATATATCTTATTCTTGTGTGCCAAACATTGCCCGGTTGCCTGCTACAGGTGGGAGTAAATCCTGAAGAACAACTGGTGTTGTTCTTTTTAGTAGGAACTTTAATTTCCGAAATCCTCCAATCATTTTCTAAAGATGTCTACTGTATTTTACGATGTTTTGAATATGATGATGCCAACTCCCGTTAGAAGAAAAGGTCAAACCCAAATGTTTATCACAATCAAATTATATTGCAGCAGGGAGACTATATGTTGTAGAGTATCCCTGATTGCAGCAATCAAAATTCGAATTAATGTCTTTTCGGCCATCTTTCATAGTAAATAATATGGCTTCAGTGTTTTTAGTTGCACTATTCCATCATAATATGTGGGTAACAAGTAGTAGTTAATCTGTTCGTTGAACCGTAAATGTTGCTGTTTTAAGGCGTCTGCGAACTGCCTATCTACGTAATGGCACGATACCAATGCCAGACCTCGCAAGATGTATATCATCAATCATCACAGACTTTATAAACCAAAATATTTGAGAATCTTCTTCGCAAAACATGCTTACAAAACAATGACCTCAGCCTGTTACTGGGGTCAACTAGTGAGCTTAAACTCCTCTCAGTGATCGGGAGACGTGTATATGCTCCCCGTGAACATCATAAACAACAACAGAGAAAAATAACTTTACAATGTTTAATAGATCTGTCGATCACCATAATCACTTATACATAAACTATTGCAGCAATTAAATTTATCTAGAACTACCAAGTTATAACATTTTATGCTTTTATGAAAATTAGCAGCGCATCTTCAAGCTAACACAAACATTGACCACTCAGACATGTATTTTACACTTTGACATCATAATAAGTAATTAGTCACACTTATTGGCGTCATATCTGAAGACAGATGACCCCTGATGTATCAGAGCTCATTATCCAAAATAGTTTCAATGAGCCTGGGCTTCCGTTTTTAACACGTAGGTGAATTGGTTTGAAAAGTGTATAATGCAAGTACTGATTTACTTGCACACTGATATATACTCAATGCATTTGTTGTTGATATTTCAAATAGAAGTGTTGACAAAGTTGTTTCATCAAGGTTACAATATTCAAGACCTTGGTGTAGCTTTGAACACTTTTGTGGTAGACCAGTGGAGGAAATTTGAAGCTTTTGTAACCAAAATCATGTCCGATTCAATCCCCAGTTACATGTCAATCTTCAAACAGTGCTTTGTTCCTCATCTTGGACTTCTGTACCATTCTCTGGACTTGGGCGTAATCTACCTCACTCTCCTCCACGTCAAACACGTCACCTACAGCAGCACTGGCCACGGAAGCAGGGCGAGCATATGTGAGATCCGTTCTCCTGTACTCGGCCATCTGGGAAATGACCTTTGCCTTATCACTCACATCTCCCATACTGGCATCGTTTCTCTCAACTTCTTTGTTGTAATACCTTTCCTGGCCATTTCTGCAGAGAGGTGTAACTCCATTAGGTCTTCGTCGATTTCAACACCTGCATCCTGTAACTGTTTCATGGCTGCACCAACCTCTGTCTTCATCAGATGTTCCAGTGACATCTCCTCTTCAGCACCACAAACAATGATCTTGGCGAGGTTGTTAGCAGACGCAAGAGGAACATACTGACCCCCAGTAATGTAAGCCAATCCAGTGAAAAAATCCTTGTAGGGTGATATGCTTGGTTCGCAGCCAGCGACATAAAGAGTGATTTCTTGAGATGCGAGTTTATTTGTGACTTTAAAGGGGTTGTGCCCGAGAGGACAGCCCAATGGGAATCCGTCCCCATCAGTTCCAAGTCCATGTGGTGGTGCATCAGCAATCAGCACGGCTATTTTAGTCGCACTACTTCTCCAGGAGAAAGTCAACAGCGCTTGCAGTCCGTCAGCCACGGCCTCTGGTTCATCACCACCACCACCGTCGGCTGAGCAGTCACGTAACCACGATTTCATATTTGCGATCTGGGAGGTGAAGTTATGCGGCTTGGTGATGAAGGATTTGTCTTGTGGTGGATGGTCTCTGTACTCAACTAAAGCAAAGTGGACACTTCTCCCACCCGCAGAGGATATTTGATCAATTATATGCCTGATGTTCTCTCTTGCAGAATCAATATACGAACCCATACTGCCCGTGCAGTCCATTACCAAAGCAAGGTCCAACAAAGACATAATTATAAATATCCTTTCCAGAAACAGCTCAGTGTTGGTTATACTTTCTTTATCAGCGACGTCTCACAAAACGTCCCAGAAAATCAGTGTGTAAAAGTGGGTGGGTGTAAAGTTCTTATACGGGATATCTTCTCCAATATTTCCTGGTTCTTGGAAACGTAAAGCTAGTTTCGTTTTAGCCTTACCGTAATGAACATAATTTCACTCGACAACAATGCACTTTATGGTAGGTTTTGCTACATTTATGTATAACTTGCCACGATCAAAATGCAATCCAACATGAATTCAAGGTCTACTTCCTGTGCTGTACAGAGATGAATCCTTTAGCAAAGTGACGAACATAAACGTGCTGATAGACATGTTACTTGCCGCTGTATACCACAGCTAGTTGTAGATATGGGCCTATATAAGGTCGAGTGTTTCCTGTAGAATTCTGCCATTCTACTTGGACGACGCTGCAAAGGTATGGTTTCTCTGCCTGCCTGAAACCACACAACGCGACATGCAGTCACTGAAGGCAGCCTTCAAACAACGTTTTCGGCGCTCCTTTGACGTGGTTCTTCTACACATGCCACAGAAGGAGCAGGAAACGATAGAAGACTACATCACCAGGGTGCAATCATCCATGTTGCACTCCACATTGCCACAATCTGTGATAGTAGCTATTGCAATCAATGGGCTACTCCCACAGATTAAGCAGTGGGTGTACACGAAGGAGCCAGCAACCCTGGACGAGGTTCGCCACCAGGCACAGCTGGCTGCACAGTCGCAGGCTCCCAGCACAGCAGAGGTCGGCTTGGTCCAACAAGTTGAACAATTGACAAACTTCGTGGCCATGCTGATCACAACAAACAGGGCCTGTGCTGTACAGTCAGCAACTCTTTCAACTGGTCTACAGCAGCAAGAGCCCTGGGAAGACCACCACAGACAACAGACACCTTCCCCAGCAACACAGCAACAGTACCAACCACCACAACCAGCACCACAGCAGCAGCAGTACCACCCATCACCATCACCACAGCAGCAGCAGTACCACCCATCACCATCACCACAGCAGCAGCAATACCAACCACCACCATCACTACCACCACAGCAACAGCAGCCGTACCAACCACCACCACCACAGCAACAACAACACCAGCCATCTCCACAGAAGTACCACCCAGCACCAAACCAGTATCAAGCCTCACTTCATCAACCATACAGCTCAGTGCAGCAACACCCAACACCCACCACCCAGCCCCAGCAGCCGACTATCGACTCCACAGCACCTTCAAGGCAGATGTCGCAGATGTGGTGAGTTTTTTCGGTTCCCTCACAATTGCCCTCATAGAAACACAATATGCAGCTACTTCGTCCTATCACCCCCAAACCAATGGCATGTGTGAACGGAGGAATAGTGTAATAGAACAGGCTCTCCGAACATATGCTAACCCTGATCAAACCAACTGGGCAAAACTCATTCCATGTGTAATGATGGCCATGCGCAATGTACCTTGTCAATCTACTGGGTATTCCCCACACTACCTTCTGTTTGGGAAGGAAATGAATCTCCCTTTTGACACTACCTTGCTGCCCAAATCTACTCTTGGCAAGGATGCACAGGGTCATCTGCAAGATCTCTTAACAAACCTCAGTGTGGCTAAATCACTTGCAAAGGACAACATGTCTACTGCACAGGACAAAAGCAAGGGTCTTCAGGATATCAGAGTCAAGGAACCTTCCTACTCTGTTGGTGATCAGGTTCTAATGACTGATCCCACAGTCAAAACTGGCCTTTCACCCAAACTATCAAAGAAATGGACAGGGCCTTTCAGAATCATTCGCATTGGTCTCAACCACACATACAAACTACTGAATGCAAACACAAACAAGGAACATAAATCCTTCATACATGCCAACAGACTCAAGCCTTATACACCTCCCACCCCTCGTATGCAAGCGTCACAACCCTCCCAGCATCTGGCAACACCTACTCAGTCAACATCCTCACAGCCTGACAATGCACATAGACAAGGCTCACAAACAGATACTCCAACTCTGTCAACTTCCTCACAGCTAGAAAATCCTATCACAACACGGCACATGTCAAGCCAAGAACCAGATAATGAACCAGACAACACCCACACATCATCTTCCCAACAAGATGATCAACTGTATGCGGTAAAACGCATTCACAAAGCCAAAAAGTGATCAGGAGAAACCCATTACTCAATTGAATGGGAAGGTTACCCACAGCGTACCTGGGAACCTGCCTCTAACCTTAGTCCTGAAATGATAAGTGATTACCACACTTACAGAACCCGAACAGGTGACAGACGAAAACGGAAACCCAGATATTTTGCAAAATCATAGGTCATGACCTTCCATGGTATTCCTCCTGACGACATGTCATCTTTCGTCAAGGTAGATGAGCTCTGACCAACCCTTACAGGTAATCAATTTGCCTTGTGTTTTATAAGTGGCCACAACTTTCTTGCATTACGGTCATCCCATCTGACTTGCCCCTTGGTTTCTTGTTTTGTCTTAGGTCCATCATGGGGAGTCACCATCCTTTCGTAACTGCTGATATCTGTGCTTCCTGTCCTTCTGCCAGCAATTCTCATCTTTGTCTTTTACACGCAACATTCTCGACATAACAATTGTCTACTCCTAGAACTCACTTCTGGTCCTGAGTATGTCACTATTGCCTATTTCTTTTCGCTCACACCGTGTCTTTCCTACTTGCACACCAAACCGCCTTATGTCAAAGGAAATCTTCAACTCTCAGGATATTTCTTTCCCACTCTCACACTCCAGTGGCCTGATTTCCATGTCACCAATAAACTGACCGACCGTTCACTCAACATCCCCAGATCAATCTCAGTCTCCTATCTCACTTCCCGCAAATTACGCAAACTCTTCCAGCAACCGTTTACCACATATATTTTACTAGTCGACCATGGGTATTTTCAAGTTTTGGAACCAACTGGCATGTTTTAAAGGTCTTTTAAAGGGCAAATTGTTAGGGAACGCTAAAAACTCCCTCATCATTCAACCTGTCTCAATTATCTACTATGTATCTTTTTTACCTTGTTCAGGTTCCTTTTGACTTGTCCATCTTTTTAAATTGTCCCTGATTTCTTCTCGTGCAGTGTGTATTTGTATTTCAGGTCAAATAATTGTATTTCAATCCTTGTACCATAATTTTTTTAAACGTACCAACCCTATGTCCATCCCATTTTTTGTTTTAATCATTGTGTATACGTTTGTCAAGCGCTATCAGGTGCACCTCTTTGATTCTCATTGTACACCCTCGGTATTTGTAACCCTTTCCTGTTTTTGTGCTCCACAACGCACAGGGGTATTATTACAGTGCATATATTTCTTCATACATTTTTATATTTTTCACAAATTATTCATAACAAAGAAAATCCGTATACTTGCAAGTCGCAGTGCATAGTGTATCTTGTTTATAGCCCCGCATGTCAAGCGCAGTAGTAGGCAATTAGCAAACGCATCCACACCAACCTTAAACTAATTAATCAAAGATGAAGCTAGCGAGCTGTGTCGGCCCCGGCCTTTCTTCTCGGGTACACCCCTTGGTCAAGTGCAGATAAGTAGTCCCATCCCAGCAGGAGCATGTCTACCACCAACTAAGTCGTAATCGAAAATCAACTTTTGTTGAACAAGATCGAGATAACCATCATGCCATCCTCTTTGTCCTGTCGTAAATGCCATGGTCAAGCGCTGACAGATATTTTGTTAAGCAGCTGGCGCAAACTGACTGTGGCTACACCATAAAGAAAATCAAACCTTGTTAGGTAATCATCTTCTTACCACCTACCTCGTGTAGTATAATTTGTCAGCATAGGGTAGATAACGCATATGGAAACTTCAACTTTATAGAAACTTGATAATGACAAACGAGCAGAGCTGTGGGGTATAAAATCCTGGGTTCTTCCATCTCAGGCACACTTGCTTGAATAAACCCAGGAACTCATAGCTCTGCCTCCTTTCTTGTTTCAAGGTAAGAAACATTTAAGCACAAAAATGTAGCACTACAGCATTATATATATTCTAGGTCATGGCTTAACTCCGTATATGGCGAAATTGCACTTTGCCAATAGCAACACCACCGTCGAAATACACTTACCGTAGTCACCCAAATAATTCATGATAAAACAAGCTTAAGTAGTAGTACTCTAACTAAAACTAGACCTTCTGACCCCGTATTTACAACACTTGTATATCTCTCTAATATCACTTACCGTATCTACTGAAATTATTGTATTGAGAAAATAGAACGCGAACAGTCAATACCGGAGTTAAATCGTATATGTCAAATCTGAGCCCTTCGCGCCGTTTACCGTATGTAGCGTGCTCAAGGCATGTATGTTGATAACTGAAATTACTTACACAAGTCATAAATCGTTACCGTAGTCAATACACTTAGCGCGACATACCGTAATAGTCATAATTCCTACCGTAGTTAACGCAATAGGCACTACATAGCGTAATTGTCATAAATCGGTACCGTAGTTAACGCATTAGGCGCGACATAACGTAATAGTCATAAATCCGCACAACAGTTAATGAACTAGGCACTACATGCTGTAATTAAACTGTTGGGCGCTCCACTCAGTACTTGTTCTTTGCAATTGTTGTTGATGATTAATTTATCCGTCAGGTTATGTTATTTATCAGTACCGTAGTTACTCAAGCAAATGTTGTATTATTTGTATTATGTTTCTGTAAGCAGTTACCGTACATACCCTGTTGTACCACACATTGCTTCAATTACCTGACTTAGATATAAACTGTATTAGGATATCATTGATTATTATTTCTATTATTGTATGTCATTATTATGTATGAATTGATGTACTTTGAATGTCATGCAAGACACTTGCTTAATAAACCCAGGAACTCACTGCTCTGCCTCCTTTCTTGTTTCAAGGCTCGCTCCCTATAGCTAATTCCCCAAATCGAGGCCTGACAGCACCTTTAGCACACCTAGCGCTAAAGGTCGTCCTAACGGACACAAAGCAAGAGCTGTCTTAATGGTAATAATTTTTTTTTATTAATTTGACTGACTGACTGACTGAGTCTAGTTTTAGCAATATTCCAGCAATATCACGGCGGAGGACACCAGAAATGGGCTTAACACATTGTG